CACACAAATTCCAAATGCTTGATGTTCAATCAGCAGATGATAGGCAGATTTTTAATACTAAGGTCATCTTGATTCCAAAAAGGTACAATATATGTATGTAGAACAAGTGTAGACCGATTTAGATGGGTTTCAGACACAGACGGACAGACAAAATTTACCATTTATTTATATAGATATATCAACTACATTTATACTTTATTGCGTATAAACGTGAGCAAATAGTCAAAAGAGGCTAGACAAAAATCTGAGGAGTCCATGGATACCTTCCTCCACCAGCGAATCGCCAATGTAATCGCGATCAAGAAGAGTTCCCTAACTATCTTTAGCTTGGCGGTATATTAACCTTACCAGCAGAAACTCAAAGTCTACACATAGCATGTGGTTTATTGTTAAATCAACTGAAAACTGAAAGTTTTCACCAGATCATCTGTTATTGAAAACTATAAAACCTCGTCTGTCCTGTTATTAATTCCTGTGATGGCAGGAAGAGACGTATTCATATTTTTTTTTTTGCGAAAGCCAATAGTTGGCTGACAAGACTTTTTCTACGTGCCATATACTTTCAGAACGTCTGCGATTATGGCTCTCCACAACGTCCTATCGTTCGCATCGTTTCTCCCTTTGCCATGCTTCCCGTAACCTGTTCCGCCATCCATGCACAGAAATCACGTCAGGAAGGCGACCCGCTGCTTTCCCCTGCTCAACATACCCCGTGGGTGTCAAACTCTCCAAGCCTTCCTTTCTCATTATATATCCAAGATATTTCAACCGTCCCTTTCTGATTGAGAGTATAAGTGTTACCATTTTTCTTTTAGATATACAACGTGGTTGGCCCTGATCTGGCATCTCGTCTGCAGTCGCTATCTCACAGACGTGCTGCGGCTTCCCTCTGCCTTTTCTACAAGTACTTTCATGGCAACTGCTCCCACGAGCCAAATTGCATGAATTTAAGCGCGCTACTAGGTCCCACCCTTTCACTGTCGAAACGATTAAATGTAGCCACCTCTTCTACTCCAACAGCTTCTTATCTCGTGCCTCCCGTCAGTGTAACTGTCTTCCTATCACTTGCTTTCCTGATAACTATAATCTTCTAATATTCAAATGTAATGTCAATCGACATCTTCTGATGCCTTCATCCCTGTACTGCTCTTTATTCTTTTCTCAAACACTCCTCTTTACTCTTTCTCTCCCTCTGTGTAACCCTTTACGTGCTAGTGGCACTCCTGCCTTGCTTGGAGCGAATTGCTTTAAATAAAAAAAAAAGGGTTTCTCGCTGCTTACTCGTTCCTGGAATTCTCAATATCCTTCGGTAGAACCACATCTCTACTGCCTTCAATGTACTCTTCACCTGTGAGAAGACGCAATCTAATATCTAAGCAGAATAAGGCTGTTCCTATGAGCAAGATGACACTCGTCGTTTTTTGATCACCATTGTCGAGTTGTTCTATTATACAGCCAATTCTGAAAGAATTAAATTTACTCAAACTGTACAGAGATCGTTTACAAGGAGGTGGCCAGATTTCAGAATTCAACAGGTTATGTATCGGTCTGAGACCTTTGTGTCAGCGTAAGTAGAATTCTATTTAGACATATCTTTCTGCGTAAGTCGGGCATCTCGAGGCGGTGTAACTCACAACCTCCGTATGCCTCTTACTGCAATCGCAGATACTGTCTATAAGTACGGCGCGCTAACCAATTATGCCACTGAAGCAGACACGAATATACAGGCCGAAACGTTGTGAATATGTTAATAAAGACGAGGACAACAGTTCAAACAATGTAAATAATTACATTACATCATCCCAGAAATATAGACAGATACCGAAAAAGGCCGGAGCATACAACTGCCGAAATGTTGTAAACATGCGAATAAAGATGATGATAACATTCCGAACAATGTAAATAATTACAATACCTCATCTCAGAAATATAGACAGATAAAATATAACAATAAAAAAAAATTGTTGTTGCTCCAGGTGAGGATCGAACTCACAACCTCCGCATGCCTATTACTGCAATCGCAGATACTGTTTATAAGTACGGCGCGCTAACCAATTGTGCCACTGGAGCAGACACAAATATGGCTTCTGAATAAAGCTATTGTTTTGGAAAACAAATCGTATTGACTCGGTCAATTTTGTCTTAGCCAGTTGAATAAATCCGACAGCACTTCTCACAGCATAATAGTCAACAACTATACTAGACTCAAGAGCCTCTTAAGGTAGAAGGATAGTATTAAAATAGTGATGATGAATGCAATTTTGTCTCGCTAGAACAATTACGACTGAGTAGTGAGTTCGGTCCTTAGTGAGTGCCCCCTACTTTCGGCCTTGTGCCACAGCTATGCTTGGAAAATCAATATCTTTCTGTGTATGTTTGAACTGGAGCTTTTTTTTTTATATGTTGCAATCATTTTGATTAAAGTTCGTTTTTCTTTATTTCAGATGAAAACTTGGCAATTTTACGACAAATGTCAGTGAACATTATCTACATTATTCGGACTATTGTCCTCATCTTTGTCGCCATGTTTATTACAGCGTTTCGGCCGTTGTACGCTCCAGCCTTCTTCAGGTGGTTGGAATGTCGAACTGAACCCTTTATTTCGCTCACTGAGGTAGACTGTTCTAGTTCCACGTGCCATGTTTGATGGATGTCAGTTATCAGTTATCTGAGAGTTCTCCACTGCCTTAACCGGGTATTGAACTCACACTTTTTGGTCCTGTCACTGAATCTAACCAACGCGTTTATCCACTGTGACATGTGTTCTTGAAGATAACAACGACCTAAAGGTTGTGTATATGACAATGAAGATGAGGATAACAGTTCGAATAATGTAAATAATGCAAGTAATCATAATACCACATCTCAGAGATATAGAGGCCGAAACGTTGTGGATATGGCAATGAAGATGAGGATAACAGTCCGAATAGTGTAAATAATGTAAATAATTACAATACCTCATCTCAGAAATATAGACAGATAAAATAGAATAATAAAAAAAAAAATTACTGCTCCAGGTGAGGATCGAACTCACAACCTCCGCATGCCTATAACTGCAACCGCAGATACTGTCTATAAGTACGGCGCGCTAACCAATTGTGCCACTGGAGCAGACACAAATGTGGCTTCTGAATTAAGCTATTGTTTGTAAAACAAATCGTATTGACTCGGTTAATTTTGACTTAGCCAGTTGAATAAATCCGACAGCGCTTCTCACAGCATAATATTCAACAATTATACTAGACTCAAGAGTCTCTCAAGGCAGAGGGATAGTATTAAAATAGTGATGATGAATGTAGTGTTTATTATGAATGTGGATCACGAGGAAAAGGAGGATAGACTTAATTGGTTCGTTTTTTACAGCTTATCAACCCTTTGCCGTTTATTGAAAGCTAAATAATATTTTTAGGTCGTAAGAATTATTTTTTATATAATAATGGTTAATGATACACATCTTACTAATTAACTCATAGGTGAGGGAGAAGAGGTGATTTTATAATTTTCCGAAGAGTATTTGCGTGTAAGTGGATATAACGAACCCAACTGGAATTGGAACTCGGATCTCCGATCAACAATTCCGAGCCATTATCTATTACACCACCCGTTCATCCAAGCTTACAGCATCCGGTATTTCTCCGTCCATCTATGGGTTAAATAGCAAGATCGACTGAACTCGCTAATCTTGGGAGACCGACATCTTAGGAGAATTTCAAAAGCTTGGAGAAGTCAACAGGAAACCACTCCACTATCTTTCCCAAGCAGTCTTGACAATTTACAGATAATAAAGAAGAGAAACCTTTAGAGAGCCATTATCACATACGTGCTGGAGGACATTTAAAGAAAAATTATTTATTTTGTAGTCCTTGTAGTTACACGACTGGCAATTCAGGTCTCGTGTTGAGAGTGTCAACACGAGAATAAGTGAGATTGGAAGAGTGGCGCGCACTCTTATCAAGAAATCCCATTTTTGTTGATTTCAGCTTTAAGGAGTTCATAATGTCAGAATCGACTTTTTTTGAATGGCCTTGTGTTGACCTCTGATATGGGAGGCCTTAAGTGCTAAAATTACTTTTTTCGTCTTTTTGACTAAACCAACAGTTTTAAGACAAAAAAGTCATATATGTGTTAACAGGTGTAAAAAAAAAAAAAAAAGGTTGAAATGTTTGTGTTGGCTCATTTTCTGAAAGGATTTAAAGAATTTATAGTACCAAACAGAGTTGCTAATTTAGCTCTTTTGGAATCAGAAATCCCTCTTTTATCAGTACATATAGCTCCTGTAAAGCCAAGTGCCACATTTGATGATTTTTTTTAAATCAATTCACCCCAAACAAGGCGATAATGCCACTAAGACACAAGGGGTTACTGGGAGTGAAAGAGAATGAGAAGACTTTAGTGAGGAGAAAGGACAATAAAAGAACAGAATTCAGAAAATTGAGAAATTTTTTTTTTTTAAAATAAATAGTAAATAAAATTTCAGGGTTCAAAATTAGAATTATAGAATTATTGGAATTCTAGACTTGAAGCGGACTTAGTGTTATAGAGTGGTTTCACAGTGGAGGCTTGTATTTGTACAAAGTCGGTCCTAAAATAGGTTCGACGTACAAAACGTTAGGAACTTGATATAATAGGTATTACGCAGAGTAAATCTAGTTGTGGTCGCGGATACTTTAGTATCCGACTAATGGTAGTCCGGCATCGACTGACAGACCGACTATATTTAGTCACCCCCCCACGTGGGCATCATGTGGAACAAGGTCGGTTTAACGTGGGATCTCCGAGCCCGTGGGCTCGGCCAAAATATAAAACCCTTTTGAACCCGTATAAACGGGTTCAGGGTCGGTTTATCTCCCCGAAAGAGAATCCGCCCTTCGGCGTAGCCTCCTTCGGGTTCCTCCCCGCCCGAAGGCAGAGAGTTCAACCGATCTGTCGTTCAAGAGTTGAGCGACGGACTCCTGAGGCGCAGTATTTATTAAGTATGGAATAGTCCATTATTATTATTATTATAGGTAAGATCCCATAACATAGATAGATAGATAGATAGATAGATAGATAGATAGATAGATATGAACGGAGAGAGCTAAATATATGAACAAACAGAAATAAAAAAAAGAAAGGTACCATCTTGGATAGATAGATAGATAGATAGATAGATAGATAGATAGATAGATAGATAGATAGATAGATAGAAATAGACCGTATTTTCCGATATTAAAAGCACTTTATTTCATAAAATAAATCTTCAAAATTTACGTTTTATCTTCGCGCCAAATCTTACAGTCCGACGCTTGCTGTCATAAACGAAGAAACAAGTAAATCACTATATTTCGTTACGTCACTGTTGCATACAATGCCTTGGGGCTTTTGAAACTCTGAAAGCCAAGGCAATTGTAAACGTATAAAATGACGCTGGAGCGGACGAGCCTCTTGAATAGTTTAACGTTTCTTCAGTAACGCTCGATTGATTCTCTGGACTCGGAGATGCTTTTTGTCGTTTTAGTTTTTTCTTATTCTGAAATATTTATGCCTCTGACTGGTTGTTTGTTTGTGACTGGTTCATCTTTCTTCACCTGTTTTACAGGCAATAAGTCTTTCGTTTTCCCTTTTCATTAGAAATTAGGAGATGGGTAAATGGCTAAACATACAAATTAATAACTTAAAGGAATGGAGAGAATGAGAGCGAAAGAAGTGGAAAAAAAGATAGGGTGAAAAAGAAAGAAAGAAACAAACAAACAAACAGAAATAAAAAGAAAGAAAGAAAGAAAGAAAGAAAAAAAGAAAGAAAGTAAGAAAGAACGGAAAAGAAAAAACGAAAGAAAGAAAAACAAAAAAAAAGAAAGAAACAAACAAATAAACAAAAAAAAAGAAAGAAAGAAAGAACGGAAAAGAAAGAAAGAAAGAAACAAACAAACAAAGAAACAAAAAGAAAGAAAGAAACAAAAAGAAAGAAAGAAAGAAAGAAAGAAAGAAGGAACGAAACAAACAGAAAGAAAGAAAGAACGAAAGAAAGAACGAAAAAAAAGGAAAGAAACAAACAAACAAACAAACAAAAAGAAAGAAAGAAAGGAAGAAAGAAAGAAAGAAAGAAAGAAGAGACAAACAAACAGAGAGGAAAAGAGATGAAACGAGAGAGGGAATAAGAAAAGGGATACGCCGATAAAGAGAGAGATAGAGCGCTTACATTGAGAAAGACAGAAAGAGAGGGAGAATAAGAAAAATATATATATATATATATATATATATATATATATATATATATATATTGAGAGAGAAGAAGAGAACAATAGAGTGATAGAAAATGACAGATAGAGAGAGAAAGAGAGAGAATGAGAAGAGAAAATAGATATGCATATACATGCATTGAGAGAGAAAGAGTGATTCTAAAATGATAGAGAATAACAGATAGAGAGAGAGAGAGATAATGAGAAGAGAGAATATTTATATATATACATAAAGAGGGTAAGAGAGAAGTATAGAAGGATAGAGAATGGCAGATAGGGAGAGAGAGAGAATGGGAAGAGAAAATAGATATGCATATACATACACTGAAAGAGAAAGAGAGAACTATTGATAAATTGAGAGACAATGATAGAGACGATAATTTTAACAGGGTCGCAAAATTTAATAACCACTAAAAACGGAGACATTAAAATCGAACAAGAAAGAAGAACGAGTTTTTTTTTTCATAGTTAAATCATAAAAGCAAACAAAGAATATCTTAATCAATTTTTATCACTTCCTCGTCAGAGCTCTCAAATGATTAAAAAAACTTTCCGAAACTTTTAACATTTAATTGTAAATATACATGCTTCATTCGAAAATTTAAATTTGATAAAATCTATCGTCTTGGAGATATCGACAGTAAAAATTAGGATTCATTCGCGTCGTTGGCGGCAGCCATTACTGGTGTTGTTTGCATACATTCACTGCGGAAAGCTAAGCGCAGAAGAACGTAGTTAACGGCCTTTTTAACTTGTCTCAATTACTGCGCAAGAGAATTATATTGCGTGTTGCAATAACCAAGTCAAGTGTATATTCCACTCATAGCTGTTCAGCAGCAAATTTGCCAGTAATGGCTGCCGCGACGCGAATGAATCCGAAACTGTCGTAACTCCAAAACGGTAGATTTTATCAAATTTATCGAGTCTTTCCTGAAGTATGTACATTTAGACAAATATAAGTATTCAGGAATTTTTATTGCCTGAACGTGGCTCATAATCTGTTATTATTTGACAAAAAATGGTCACGGTAAATAAAATAGAAAATAAAAACAATACATAATATTATATATATCATTTTTATAGTTATCAAAGGTTAAAAGCCATTCCTTCTGCACACAGAGGGCGGGAGGAAGGGATGGAACCATTTAATATATGAGGTTTGATCAAATAGTATCGGGATTGGCGCTATATAAAGAAAACTGCAACATACATAGTCCCCTTTTTCTTTCCTTTTTTTTTGCAACATGGTTTCCATTGATGGAAGCATTCATGGAACTTCTTTTGTGGCGAATAGCGAGCAGTTGCCTTGTTGCATTCAATTCGATTTCTTTGACGTCTTCAAAACTTGTTCCTTTCAATTGGGATACGTTTTTTTTTTTTTTATAGAAAGAGGAAGAAATTATGAGATCTGGGAACATTTTGTACAATCCATGGTCACTAATAGAACCTCAGTCGTGTGGTGAAACAATCACACTCTACATACTCTCCTTTCAAGCACTTAAAAAAAAACTGGAGCAAGCAAGATTGTTATAACTTAATGCGCATGCGCAACAGAGTTCGAGGTCAATCTGCACCAGGCGGCTTCACTTTGTGTACTTCGTTACCATAGCATCAGTCTAGATACTTTTCGATTAATCTTCGTATATAGTACCTTAGACATTTAAATGTAAATCCGAATGAGCTTACCTCAGTCCCGGGATGTGTTAGCCATACATTGACAATCTATATAAATAAACGTGAATGTCAGTGTGTCACACTTTTTCAACTTTACCCCTAGAGGCCGTAGCCCTACATATCATGTCATTTTGGAATCAGGCCGACCCCGTGAGCAAATTAAAAGCATTCCGGGTCGGATACAGACCCCCAATCCTGAAATTTGGGATTCCAAGGTTTTCATTATTGTGGTTGTTTTCGGTGATTTTTGTACGTGATTGTCTTTAAATTAAGTGACAGCAGAAGAATTATCGTTAAACTTTTAAAAGGTAAGCTTAAATATTAATGCAATACTTAAATGCAGCAATCAATTTTGAGTTCTTCTTTAGTTTATTGGTGTCTATCATATCTACTCCTCCTATTGTGATGAAAGCCCAACCAAGAGCTCTCTGCAGGAGCTAGTTTAAATGCTGCATGATAAAAATGCAAATGGGAAAGTAATAATTGGTATAAACTGATAACTTGTAGCTGATATTGAGGTGAAAAAGTTGCATAACAAAATGTGAAAAGTATTAAAAAAATATTAAACCGATGTGGATAGAGAGAGTGGCTTCAACTATAAATCTTTTGCAAAAGAGCATTGAAGTCAAATATTCTAAGGTCAACTGTAAAACTTATTAAAAAATACTGTCATATAAATATATTTTTGCAATAATTAATGGTTAAAAGATTTTTATTTTTGCTTCATATTCATGACTAATTTTAATCTTATATATAGACTTGTTTTGTTTTGTTTTTTTAACATTAGTCAGTTTCTTATAGAACTGATATTAACAATGAATTTGAAATAGAGTTAACTTATTCAGAATTGGGAAAGGAAAAAGAGAAAGGAAAAAGAGAAAATAAGGATCTACGTACATCAAATCATCTTTAAATTAACTGACAGCAGAAGAATTATCTTTGAACTTTTTAAAGGTAAGCTTAAATATTAATTCAATATTTAAAAGCAGCTATCAATTTATGGGTGAGTCTCATTTAACTAATCAAAAAAAGTTAATTCTAAATCAGAAAAATTAAAAATATATTTTAGATTTTAACTCTTTAATAAGCAAAAATACTGTTTCCTATTTTCAAAGGTAAATCATTTTCATCAAAAAGTTACCAAACATTGCCTAATGATGTGTGTTTGTGCAATTTTTTTTTATTATTTACCCATTAACAGATTGTTTCCCGCTGTGTGATTTTCAAAATATTCGCTTGTTTCTTTTAGACTCTCCAAAGGTCTAGAAATTTTCAAAAGAAATGCTTAAGCGTGCTGACAGTTCGAAATAATTATCTCCTTTTTGCTTACTAATCAATTCACGTTCTTGAATTTTGTACTTTTCAGTTTCTTGTCTATACGCGGATTATGCACAAGAATATCTGCCTTTGTTTTTCTTTGCCCTTTTTTATATAAAATATTATTATTATTATTATTATTACATTATAATACAATAGACCTTGATACCCATAAAGCACCATTAAGCAGCATATATAAATAGTCGAACCAATACACGTGGCCTGAAGATTGCATTAAAGCATGAGACATACTGTCGCTGCTCGGTGTTGACATCAGTGACCACTTTTATTTTAATATAAGCTCTGTCACTGATATTGCTAAATAAATGAACTCACCTAAAAAAGCAGAACTCATCTCAAAATGCAAACACAAAAACAGATTTACAGATTAAGACAAAACCAAGACTTTAAACTAAAAAAAATAGACAAAACCAAACTAAGATAACCAAATCCGAAAAAATAAACCGAACAAAAAATCTAAACAAATTAACAAACTATGGATGTACGCACGAACACAAGTAAATGCAATAATAATAATTTGAAATATAACCGTTAATGCTTATTCAACAACCGTTTGGATAATACAATAGACCTGGATACCCATAATGCACCATTGAGTAGCATATATAAATAGTCGAGTCAACAAACAACACACATGGCCTGTAGGTTGCGCTGAAGCATAAAACAGTCTGTCGTCATTCGGTGTTGACATTAGTGACTACTTTTATTTTAATATAAGCTCTGTCACAGATATTGGTAAATAAACGAACTCATCTCAAAATGCTGAACCCATCTCAAAATACAGATACAAAAACAGAATTTAACTCCCTTGCTTAAAATCTATAAGCTCTGTCGCTGATAATGAGCACTTTTACCTATAAATATAGCATATTTTAAAACTATATTTTATCATATATATGTGTGTGTGCGTGTGTGTGTGTGTGTGTGTGTGTGCAATTTTTTATTTTTTTTATTTTTTTTTTTTTAACCCGCCGTGTAATTTTCAAAATGTGCGCTTGATTCTTTTGGACGCTCCAAAGGTTTAGAATTCTTTTACAACTTTTTTTTTTCAAAAGGAATGCTTAAGCGTTTCGACAGTTCGAAATAATTCAACTCCGTTTTTGTTTACCAATTAATTCACGTTCTTGAATTTTGTACTTTTCAGTTTCTTGTCTATACGCGGATTATACACAGGAATATCTGCCTTTGTTTTTCTTTGCCTTTTTTATATACCATATTATTTATCCGACTTCCATAGGTGCTTGGGCAATCATGTTTTCGATTCATCACGGTCTTGGCAGTAGAAGTCCTACAGTAGACTGCCGTTACTTTCTACGACAGACTGATTGCCAGCCAAGGCTATAGGATCCCAGTCGATCATAGCTGGAGAGAGAAGAGATGGATTTATTCCTTCCCCAAAGGTATTTGCACTGAAGTGAATGTAACGAACCTGACTGAAATTCGTTCCGAGAATCCATCCCGCCACTCGCACATCCGAGCTTACAGCACCTGATATTCCCAAGCAGTCACCCATTTAGGTAATGACAAAACTCAACGTTGCTTCATTTCGGTGATCGGACGCGAACCGGTCTTTCAACGTGATATACCAATCCACTTCTCGCTTTCATGTCCGATATGCTTTGACAACGTCGCGCCATTGTCATACCTTCCATATTTGAAAGATATTACATATATGTTAATTTACCCTTGCACTCATGGACTCTATCAGCTATAAATAGGAGCAGGTACTGCCTTTTAGAGCGGAAAGTTTCCAGCCCTGACATTCGGACCGAACATTCTTGCTGTAACACTCTCGTTTGTATATGTTTTGTATTACTGTTTCTCTTAATATATTTGTTTAACTCAATTCCTCTCTTTGTGTCTTTATGTCTGGCCCTAACACAGCCACAACAGTTATATATCTGGGAAGAGTATTAATAGAAGATGGGAAAAGGTGCAACGTTATTGTTAAGATAATTTACGCATGCACGCATGGACTCTCCCAGCTATAAATAGGAGTAGGTACTGCCTTCTGGAGAGGGAATTTTCCAGCAGTCAGCCCTGACAGTCGGACCGAACATTCTTGCTGTAACACTCTCGTTTGTATATGTTTGTATTACTGTTTCTGTTAATATATTTGTTTAACTCAATTCCTCTCTTTGTGTCTTTATTTCTGGCGCTAACAAGGCCACAACAATATACATACAATAAGCAGATTTCTTTTAATCGTTTCACCCCAAACAAGGGGGGGGCGTACAGGAAGTGAAAGTGAAAGATAATAGGAAGACTGAGAATGAGAATAGGGTTGAGGAAAGAACAAAAAAGGGAATAGAGTTCAAGAAGACAGAAGATGGCGATTAAAGTTGCACTTAAATCTTAGAAGATTGTAGTTATCAGGGAAGCAAGAAATATGAAAGGAGTTCCACAGGTGGTCAGTGCGAGAAAAGAAACTGTTAGAGTAGAAGTAGCGGTTACATCTAGCTAGTTCAACAATAAAACGGTGAGACCTAATTGCCAATCTAGTATCACGCTTAAATCCGTGTATCCGAGCAGTTGCCATGAAAATCTTTCTAGAATAGACAGAGAGAAGCCACGTCACGTCGGCGAGAAAGTGACTGGAGGTAAGATGCCTTGTCAGGATCTTTTGTATTACATACCTTTCTCTGGATTTTCAAGGTGTTATTAAACGTACTTCCTGTCTGATCCAGTTCTCAATATTTCAATGGAAATCAGAATTTGTGGGGAGGAAAGGCTATGCAAACTTTACAAACGATGTCAGGTGTTTTGAAAAGCCTGGTACCTATCTGGAATAATGAGTACGTTTCACATTCCTAGGTTATGCCCCTTTGTTCACGCCGAAAACTTTTCAACCCACTTTTCTCGTTTCGCAATCGTCCGGCTTCAGCTTGAGAAGTGAGTTTAATCCTCACAGAGTGACCCCGAAGTTCGAAGCTCTTGCACCAGATTAAGGTGACCTTAGCGAATACACTGCCGTCGACCGGCTTCGTGACTCATGAACGCTAAGATTATTGTCAAGCTGCTATCAACTTTAGAAGGTGAACATATATAAAGTTATCTTCTTAAATAAATAGCACCACTTATCACTAAGTTTCCGGTGATCTTTTCTCATTGTCGATGCCCTGAGACCTGTACTGGCATTTCGCACAGAAGATCCCCGTTGTGGGTCATTTGAAAAATTCGAACGCCTTTTGGTTGCTATGGCAGAGAGATAAGCTTGTTTCATTTCTTTGTCATATTACTTAGTCCACAGAAAGTCGCAACAATTATTCGGCTGTTCACAGAGGAAAATCTTGTGTAAATTAAAAGCGACATCGGTTAAAAGGAAAGGTGGTACAAGAAATCAGTTATTCTAGACAAAAATTGTTATATATGAAGTAACGACAACAGGTTTCTTTAGCAGTATTCTAGCAAATACCTTCTTTAGTACCGATAGGCCGTACGATGTGCGCATAGTGTAGCGATTAGCGAATCGGACTGCCAACTTGACGCGCTGAGTTCAAAACCTGCCGATAACTTTTTTTAAATTCACTTTCGCACAAACACCTTTGGTTTTGGTTGGTTGATTTTGTTTAACGGCATATCAACATCTCTATGGGTCATTTAATGTCAAAATCTAAATGTTTTAAAATTAATTTAATGATTTTGACGAAATATATTTTGAATGCAATTCAACTGTAGATAAACTGTACTGTTGGTAATTTCACTATGAAATTGTATTGTTAACAATTTCACTATAAATGGTAGTATTTGTAATTCACTATAAAATTGTATTGTTGGTAACAATTTCACTATAAAATCGTATTTGTAGTAATTTGTATAAAATTGTCACTATAAAATTGTATTGTTGGTAATCTCACTATAAAATTGTATTGTTGGTTCTCACTATAAAATTGTTGGTATCTCACTATAAAATTGAATTGTTGATAATCTCACTATAAAATTGTATTGTTGGTAATCTCACTATAAAATTGAATTGTTGGTAATCTCACTATAAAATTGTATCTCACTATAAAATTGAATTGTTGGTAAATCTCACTATAAAATTGTATTGTTGGTAATCTCACTATAAAATTGATTGTTGGTAATCTCACTATAAAATTGTATTGTTGGTAATCTCACTATAAAATTGAATTGTTGGTAATCTCACTATAAACTTGAATAATTGATAATTCACTATAAACTTGTATTGTTGGTAATCTCACTATAAAATTGAATTGTTGGTAATCTCACTATAGACTTTAATTGTTGGTAATCTCACTATAAAATTGTTGGTAATCTCATAAATCCTGAATAAAATTGGGTAATCTCACTATAAAATTGTTGTTATTTTCACTATAAAATTGTATTGTAATCTCACCCTATAATATTGTATTGTTGGTAATCTCACTAAAATAAAATTGAATTGTTGGTAATCTCACTATAAAATTGTATTGTTGGTAATCTCACTATAAAATTGTATTGTTGGTAATCTCACTATAAAATTGTATTGTTGGTAATCTCACTATAAAATTGAATTGTTGGTAATCTAATCTCACCATAAAATTGAATTGTTAGTAATCTCACTATAAAATTGAATTGTTGGTAATCTCACTATAAACTTTAATTGTTGGTAATCTCACTATAAACTTGAATTGTTGATAATCTCACTATAAAATTGTATTGTTGGTAATCTCACTATAAAATTGAATTGTTGGTAATCTCACTATAAAATTGAATTGTTGGTAATCTCACTATAAACTTGAATTGTTGATAATTTCACTATAATATTGGTTGGTAATCTCACTATAAAAATTGTATTGTTGGTAATCTCACTATAAAATTGTATTGTTAGTAATCTCACTATAAAATTGAATTGTTGGTAATCTCACTATAAAATTGTATTGTTGGTAATCTCACTATAAAATTGAATTGTTGGTAATCTCACTATAAAATTGTATTGTTGGTAATCTCACTATAAAATTGAATTGTTGATAATCTCACTATAATATTGTATTGTTGGTAATCTCACTATAAAATTGAAAATAGACTTTTAATTGTTGGTAATCTCAAAACTTGAATTGTTGATAATCTCACTATAAAATTGTATTGTTGGTAATCTCACTATAAAATTGAATTGTTAGTAATTTCACTATAAAACTATTGTAAATTAATATTGTATTGTTGGTAATCTCACTATAAACTTAATGGTAATTGTTAATAATCTCAATCTATAAAATTGAATTGTTGGTAATCTCACTATAAAATTGAATTGTTGGTAATCTCACTATATAAATTGTTATTGTTGGTAATCTCACTATAAAATTTGTTGGTAATTTGAATTGTTGATAATTATAATATTGTATTGTAATCTCACTATAAAATTGAATTGTTGGTAATCTCACTATAAACTTTAATTGTTAAATCTAAACTTGAATTGTTGATAATCTCACTATAAAATTGAATTGTTGATAATCTCACTATAAAATTGAATTGTTGGTAATCTCACTATAAAATTGAATTGTTGGTAATTATAAACTTGAATTGTTGATAATCTCACTATAATATTGTATTGTTCGTAATCTCACTATAAAATTGTATTGTTAACCATAAAATTGAATTGTTAGTAATTTCACTATAAAATTGTATTGTAAGTAATCGCCCTATAATATTGTATTGTTGGTAATCTCACTATAAAATTGAATTAATGGTAATCTCACTATAAAATTGTATTGTTGGTAATCGCACTATAAAATTTAATTGTTGGTAATCTCACTATAAAATTGTATTGTTGGTAATCTCACTATAAACTTGAATTGTTGATAATTTCACTATAATATTGTATTGTTGGTAATCTCACTATAAAATTGAATTGTTGGTAATCTCACTATAAACTTGAATTTTTGATAATCTCACTATAATATTGTATTGTTGGTAATCTCACTATAAACTTGAATTGTTGATAATTTCACTATAATATTATATTGTTGGTAATCTCACTATAAACTTGAATTGTTGATAATCTCACTATAATATTGTATTGTTGGTAATCTCACTATAAAATTGTATTGTTAGTAATCTCACCATAAAATTGAATTGTTAGTAATTTCACCATAAAATTGTATTGTTAGTAATCTCACTATAATATTGTATTGTTGGTAATCTCACTATAAAATTGAATTGTTGGTAATCTCACTATAAAATTGTATTGTTGGTAATCTCACTATAAAATTGTACTGTTGGTAATTTCACTACAAATATGTATTATTGGTAATTTTTTTATATAAAAATGAATTATGGCCTTTTTAGGGCCAAAATTAAACACACGAGCCAGGCATTGACTTAAATATATTAGCAGAAACAGTAATACAAACATATACAAACGAGTGTGTTACAGCAAGAATGTTCGGTTCGACTGTCAGAACTGACTGCTGGAAACTTCTCTCTCTAAAAGGCAGTACCTGCTCCTATTTATAGCTGGAAGAGCCCATGCGTGCATGGGTAAATTACCATAACAAAAAGCATTGCCTGTATTGTTACTATACATATGTATTTTTATACCTTCATAGTGCTTTGCTTTGGAGTTCACTCTTTGCCAATAG